ACACATTAATTTTATTAATTTTTTTGCAAATATACAACTTTTACCATCTAATTTAAAAGTCTGTACAGTAGAATAAACTGTATATCAGGCCTTACAACTGAAAACATGGACAGCAAGTATTAAAAAATCAATGAGCATGAGAGACAGACCATATCCCCTGTCCCAATCCAGCCTCTTGAGTGATTGAAATTACGTATATTGAAATAGTGTCTTCTCTAGCTGGTCAGCTGAAATAACTGCAAAAAAATGTAAAGAACTTGCATAAGAAATACATCCATGATGTTTTCAAGGTCAGTTCTATTGGGCAAAGAACATTTAAAATAGTACAGTAATTCAAACTTCAATTACAATTCAATTTAAAGTAACATTTTTTTTTTTAATTCCTTCCAGTTCATATACAAACAAAAAAAAGTACAGAATCATAACAATTCGTTGGAAAAGGAAAAAAGCGGAAACAAAATGAAAAAAAAAACAAAAAAAAAAACAGAAAGGGGCATGGACAAAGCAGGACAAAGAAGACACAGACAAAAAAAAAAAAGAAAGAAAGTAACAATTCAAATTAGACCAGTAAAACCGAACACAATTTAAGTTAAAAAAACAAGAGAGATTAGGACAATTTCTACTGAAGTTTAATTTGAATTGATAATTACCAAGAAAATACTGTACATTGGTCTAATATTAGGCAAATAAAACTCAGTCAAGAAAGTCCAATTTTTAAAGGCAGAATAATGGTATAAATGTTAAATGAAATACACTGAGTGCATTATAATAAATAACAAATGCATTCTTATATCAATTATCTATGCGTTGCACACTAATAACCATAATAATAATAATAATAATAATAATAATTCTTTATTTTGTCCTTGTATTGTATGCTACACACTAGGAAATTTGGGCTGGGTCCCCAGGAATCTGAGGCAACTATAGTTCGGCGCCACCTACCCGACTTAACTACAACATCATGAAGATAGACTGATACAAACGTGGTCCTTAACTCGGCTAACTCTCCTGAGAGGGTTATTCGAAGAACTGAGCATTTTTATTATTATAAACGACCCAAATTCAATACTCAATGCAGAGCCGGGTGTCGAAGACGGGTCCTGGTGTGCAAGAGGCAGGAACCATACCAATTAGCCAAACGCTCAGCTTATTAACCTGTCATTGGAATATCTTTTGTCAAATAAAATATTGCAAAGGACTTGTCAGGGGAGGTGCCAGTGGAGGCCCAGTGTAATAGGCAAGATAATGCTATGGATTAGCCTGTCCTGGTAAGCAGTACACAATGCTTGGCCAAAGCACTAGTACAGGAGAGTGAACCTGGCAGGAAAAGAACTCATTCATGGCTTAGTTCATATGTTCTAAGATCAGATAACAAAAGGATAAACTTACATTCAGGCTCTACCAGCTGGTTTTCCCCAAATACGATAGATCTTTTCTTCACAGTATGAGACTATGGCTAATTATGAAAATATAAAAAAAAAACCAATGTTATTGCAGATTAGGTAATCAATGAGATAACTTTGTTCATAACTTCAAATCAGAGTAATTCTTTTTGCTAGAAACCATTTAAAATAGAAACTTCTAACAAATCATCATCTTTCTATTCTTTATACTTTATTTGGTCAGTTGTAGAAATTTTATATTAATTTACTCCCAAATATAGTATAATACATACTCCAAGTATAGAAATGCACCCCATCGTGTTCAATATTTCAACATTAATTATGTCATCATCAGGAATCCTGATAGCGTGTATTTCGATACTTGGAGTATGTATTATACTATCTTATCTGAGATTAGTCAGTGGACCTTTCAGTTTCTGGAAAAATACTCCATAATCATCATCAGTACTTATACATTATGGGCGAACAAGATAATTTACCAAGTGCAAGAGCCTGCTTCATGCATGATGTGCTATTCAAAACTAACTACTGTATTAATAAATTATATAATTTAATAATACAGTAGTAGTAGTCTTGCTGCCATAAAGTTTACACCACAATACGGTTAATTTACGAAAATGTACTAAAATGGTAAATCAACATCTCTATATGCATGACACAATTACACTTTCAAAACATATCCTATTCATTAAGATAATAAATTAAACATGTACATATTTTATTATCCGTGAATGTGAATAATATTTCTCTATGAGATGTGATCAATATTTGACAATAAACTATGATCAATACTATTATGTCATTAAGCTATAATTAATACATACTTTTCAATATTCTACGACCAATATTTCTGATCAATACTCAAGGCCACCTAGAGCAGCCGAGGGTCCTGGGAAAGCTTTGCTGCATTGGTCCATTGGTTGGGGTCTGAGGGACAGCCTACAGTAGGAACCCCGCGGGATCGAGGTGCAGATCCCTGGTTGGGGAGGGGGGTGAAGCCCCCCCCCACACCGGAGCCCCCGACTGGAGCTACGGCCTTTTAACTGGTTAGAGGACTATAATTTAATCGATTGTAGAGTGCCTAATTTCACCATGAAAAATAATGAAAGTATAGAAACATGAAAAGTAAAGGCTACAGTATCCTCCTTACTTAGTATTCAAACAAGAGCTGAAAAGATTCATAACATGGTATCAAAGTTTATAGTGGCAGATCCATGCATTTGAAATAAATGTGGCCCAGAAAGGACTTTCACAGATGGAGGGTCTACTAAGCCCACCTTAGTTGGAGCTGATGTAAGTAAATTTATGATTATGGCACCTCCGGATGGCCGGAAATGGCATTCTAAGACTTAAATATGAGTAGAATTATCTTTTTTTTGGTTACAATTTGAAATATTTAGGGGGTGGGAACCCAGCCTTCCCTTAAATCTGCCAATGGTTTAATATTTTAATTCAGTACTTATTTGACAATCAAATCTCTCTCAGGTCTATTCGTACAGTATTTCTAACTTGTATTGACGATGTGCAAGCCTTCGATAATTATTTGTAAAGAATTTACTAATTGATACATTGTAAACACAAACTTTATCATAATAATAATAATAATAATAGATGGATTTATATAGTGCAGATAAACGAGGTCTCTATGTGCTCGGGACTAGATGTTGAACTTTTCAATAACTTTCTCCTCCCCTGAGGGTCACTTCATGTCCACCGCAGCCAGTAAACTGGCGCACTTTCATCTGTCCACGACAGGGGCTGAGTGAACCAGTACACCAGGGTAGCCCCCTGGGTACTGGGTTCTTTAAAGTGCACATGAGCATTTGTTTACACTGGGCCTACGGTTTATAGTCCTTAGTCCTTATCCGAGAAGACTTGTTCCACCAATAGAACTATAGGAGCGAGCTGGCCGTGAACCTGTGCCGATATTGTTGGCTATGATCACGGTACCCCTGCCTTAACCGCTCGGCCATTTGGCATGCTCAAATAGTAGTAGAAGTCATGAAAAAGAATTAGACGCGATTAAGTACGAGCTTTCATCGATAAACGTTCAGCTATTATTTATAATTCTAAACACACGAATGACGTTTTTAAAACTTTTATTTATTTAATTTATTATTTTTACCTAATTATCCCGGGCCCCGGGGCACTCGCCTCGGTTACCCGGGCCATTAGGCGCCACTGTCAATATTTGTCAATATTCTATAACACTTCTCTGAGATGATCAATACCTGTCGATAAGCTTTGATCAATATTATCAATATGCTATGATCAATATTTTTGTCAATATGCTATGATCTAAACTTCTTTTTAATATGCTGTAATCAATACTTGCCAATAGCTTATCATCAATATTTGTCAATATGCTATCAACACTTGTCAATGCTATGACCAATACTTGTCAATAAGCTATGATCAATACATGTCAATACATTAAGATCAATATTATATACTATGATCAATACATGCCAATATTCTATGACCAATACTTGCCAAAAGCCTCATCACTGTAAATATGCTATGATTAATAGCATAATATAGTATCATCAAATACTAGTTACATAAGCTCTTATCAGTATAAATACTAACAGCATAAGATCAATATAAATTTGTCCATATGCTATGATCAATATTTTCCAATAAGCTATGTCCAATATCTGTCAATTCATTAGGATCAATATTAATATACTATGATCAATACTTGTTAATCTTACTACAGGTCTCCCTCCAAATATAGACCACTTTTGAGACCAGGGTTTTCATGGTCTTTAGCAGCTTTAATCTCTAATTAGAATAATAAAAATAAAAGACATTTGTTGATTTGGGACCATGGAAAAGTAGTCTTTAATTGGAGGTGATCCTTAATCTTTAATTAGGGGGAGAACTGTAATAACTTTTAGGACGACTTCTTACTGATTTTTGTAAAATTTATACACAGTATTTTAGGAGGATCCATATTCCTACATAAATTTACAAAAGGACTACCAGAAAATACAATTGAATTGTGAATCTAAGGTACCTTTTTCAGATGCAGCACTGATATCCACTTTTATGATTTCATCTGACCATTTCAATTGGAAATAATACAGTACACCGACCTCGCCAGCTTCTATGCCTTCTGTCAGGAATCCCCAACGCCATATCTGGTGAGATAATGTTTGTTTCAGAATGATCTCAGAAGATTTTAAAAACACCTCATCAATGGTGTGGCCATGATCTGCGTCAAGGTCTAAGTTGAAATTCAGGTGGTGCCTCATTTTTTTTAAAATGGCCTGCCAATAGTTTGACATTTGCTTTTCCACATTTTTCAGAAATGAAGGAAAAATGTAAATTTTTTCTTCCTTCAATTTGTTCCAGGTTGGCAATACTATTTTCAACTGATGTGAAAGAGCTGCATGACAGTCTAAAAGAGAAAACAAGTACACCTTTTTAAAAATATTTTATATTTTATTAATTGTATTTACTGTACTACTAAATTTTTATATAATGATTTATCTGTTATTTTTTATAGAAATAATAACATAAAAATGAATACCAGTGTCATTTCGAACTGAAACCAAATCTGCCCAAAACCTCCAATAACTTGGCGTAGCAGAAAACTTGGATGAAAAATAACTCAAAATAACCCAATTTTTTATGGTATTTCATGTATTCTTTAGTCAATGCAGATTCTTAACAGATTTTTTGTTGTAAAAATACTACCCTAAAGTGTCGAAAAATTCATTTACATTCTAGGGAAAAGATTTTTTGGGGAGGGAGTGGGGCGCACCTTTGTACACCCTAAAGCAGAAGAGTTATTAAAGCAGTCTCATGCCTGAAAATTTGTCTTGGAATCTCTTAGAAGCTTATGAATAGTAGATGTCAACTTCCACACACATGAAGGTAGCACTATAATATTTAGGCTGTCTCATTCTAAGTGGGTTGCTATTGCAGACTCTTGCGAGTTTATTGACATGTTTGCAAAATTAAATCATCGGTAGACTAATGTGCAAAATTTATGTACTATACATCTATCAATGAGATAAATGTAAATCTAATGTTCTATCATAAAAATATTATATATCATTACATTTATTTATAGTTGTTGAAATATATATTCATCCAGTGGGGAC